CCGCCCCAACACGCGCGTGCCACCTGCCCCGCGAAGGTGGGAAGGTGGCGCTGGCTGTGCGTGTGCTCGGGAGTCGCGATGAGGCCGGGAGCGCGCTTCCCGCAGGAGCAGAGGCCCAGCCGCCCTGAAGCCAGCAACTCCTGGGTCCGCCCCCGCGCTGTCCACACAGCCAGCCGGACCCACCCCTCGGCATCCTCCCCCCACCGGGCCCCTGTGGGCACCAGCCCCGCGCCCACCTGCACCTCTGTGTGCACTAGGCCCGTGACACAGCGCCACCAACTGGTCACCCTCAGACTGGCGGGGCGGCCGCCGCAGGCGCCAGGGTTCTGACACTCAGGCCAGAGCCAAACCCGGCTCAGCTAGGGACAGGGGAGCTGGTACCTTCCTGGCTCTGGGCACAGACAGTGGAGGGGAGCAGTGCCCCCTGTGGCTTGGAAGCGAGGCCCGGGCCCTCCCTCTCCTGCACACCAGGGGCAACCTGCGTCCTGACCCCCAAGTTCTCTGCCTCCCGCTTCTGGGATGACTGCCGGCAGCATGGTGTGACCGTGATCCAGTACGTGGGCGAGGTTCTGCGGTACCTGTGTAACGCTCCCCAGGTGAGGCCTGCGGACTGTGCATGGACACCCCAGGTGGCAAAGACCAGGTGTAACCCCAGGTGAGACAGCAGCAGGTGCCCGGCCAGGACCCCACACGAGGCTCCACGCGTAGCTCTTCCCTGCTCAGCCGTCCTACCTGGGGCAGGTGACTTCACCTCAGCCCTCACCTGCACACAGGTCAGGCACCCGGGGCAGGGTGTGACTTGCTACTGAGGAAGACAGTCTGGGCCAGTAGGGCTCCCTCAGGGGAAGGCCCCAGTGAGGGCCTCTAAGGCAGCGTAGCCTCAGGTACTCCCGGGGACTCCAGGTAAAGGCCCCAGCAGCCGCCGGGCAGGGTCTCCGGGTCCCGCCCACCCGGTACAAGTGCTAGGCCCGTGAGTCCCCTAGGTGGCCCCCATAGGGAACCTCTGCAGGTGAAGCTCCAGGTACCGACCCCAGTAGCCAGCTGTAAACCAGGGGGTTGCCTCCCCGGCCCCGCGCGGAGGTCCCCTGCGCCACCCGGGGCCCCAGCGTAGCCATCCGGGTAAGAGTGCCCGGGCAGCCTAGGCCACCGCGCCAGCCTTCTCGGGCATTCCCGTAGCAACCAGAGGACCGGACACACCGCGTGCGCCTGGCCATGGGCAACGGCCTGCGGGCGGACGTGTGGGAGGCCTTCCAGCGGCGCTTCGGCCCGGTCCGCGTGCTCGAGGTCTACGGCTCCACCGAGGGCAACATGGGCTTCATCAACTACCCGGGACGCTGCGGAGCGGTGGGCAAGACCAGCTGCATGCTGCGGGTGAGGGCGCGGGGTGGGCCCGGCGGACGAGGGGCGGGGCTCGGGTGTGCTGGGGGGGTCCTGCGG